CGCGACTTCTTGAAATAAGAGTTAAGCATTGCCAAGGGGGATTTTTTTCCAAAATCCTGAACAACTCTGAATAAAATTCCAAAGAAAATAAAGCACAGTCTTCCCAGAATATATATATATATACTAAGGGGCAGTCCTGGAAAAAGTGTGCAGACGACAAGGCAGAGACCACAATTTTGAGTGTATATGAACAGAGACCATCACCGGCAGGATTTCACCCACAGCAGTGTCTGGAGGTCTGTTTGGAAGCCATGGGAGACGCCAGACAACCCACATTCGTGCTGGATTGTCCCCCCACCCTCCCCATGCGGAACATCACTGGGACAAATCTGAACGCCCGGCATGTCTAAACGCCACGAGGTGGAGGTGCACCCGGGACCTCAGCCTCCGCTCCAGCTGCTCCCTGGGAGCGGGCACGTTCCAGAATCGCAGGAAACAGAAGCTCGGCAGGAAGCCGGGAAGCATCCATGTGGTCATGTTGTCCCTTCTGGAGCTCCCTGGTTGTGACTTCCCGGAAAGCAGTTCTCCCAGTTGGCCACGCGGGGGCGCCCTGAGACCCAGAATCGGAACCTTTGCAGGTTTGTGAGATGTTGAACTGTCTACGGATGCAAGAGATGGAGGCAGGCCGAAAACAGTGTGAGAAAGAATTCCTTACTGCACTAGTATTGTGCGAGATTGTCTATCTGTGGCAGCACCATCCACTTTTCCAGTATCCACTGTTAGCACTGAATAATTTTGTAAATGGTGTTTCCAATCCTCCCAATAATATAATCTTGATATATAAACAGCAATGTCAGCATCCTCCCAGAAACACCAATGAATACGGGTGAAACAAGTGCAATGGCCAGTTCTTGCCTCCCCCACACACGCACACACACACACACACACACACACACACACACACTTCTCTAGAAATAATAATAATAAGAGATAACATTTTTGAGAACTTACCACGTCTCATTGTTTTCGGTTCTTTCCATGAATGAATATTTTATCTTCACCAGTAGCGCTGTGAGGTGGGTAGTATTATCCCCATGATAAACAGCACGGATGAGAAAACTGAGGTGCAGAGGGTTTCAGTAACGTGCCCAAGTTTACCTTGCTAGCAAGTGGCGGGGAAGTCACTGAAGAACTGTGGAACATTCCAGGCATCAGCGCAAGGACTCGCATCTGCTGTAACGAGGTGCTTTGGAGGGACTTAGCCACCCTCGTCCTTGTACTGCAAGAAAACAAGCCAGCGTGCACTCAGCTTATTGTTTCTCCAAAATCTGAGAACACTGAGGATGATAAAATAAAACCAACCAACAAACAAAAAAAACCTATGAGATATTTTGGGACACAGTGTTGTGGCTTATTTTGTTCATGAATTCATCCCAAGCATTACACCAGGTGGGTCTGAAGGTGAGCATTTGCTCCACAACCCTGGGGCAGCTACAGATAGTGGGAAGACCTAGAACTGGACAAAATCGAGCCTTGAGTTTTCAAGCCTGGCTAAGCATTAGAATCACTGGGGATGGGGGGTGTGTGTGTGTGTGTGTGTGTGTGTGTGTGTGTGTGTTTAAACTGATATCTGGGTCTCCCTAGGCCAGTTGAATCATCATCTCTGGAAGTGGGGCCCTGTTGTCTTTTATAACTTCCCACAGGTGATTCTAGGATTCAGTCAGCATTGAGAACCAACCTCCTCTGGCCCAGAGAGGAGCCATGATTTGCCAAAAGCCAAATGTTAAGGAAGGGGGAGCCAAGTGTCCTGATTTCTTTCCAGAGCCCATCAGAAGCTCTACTGCTGCCCCAGACTGGGCCCACCTCACAGGGAAACAGACAGCAGGACAGAGGGCCCTGGGTGCACAGCACACTCAGAGCTGCCTCTTTGTCTGCGTACCTCGGTCTGGGGGGATGCTCAGCGCCCCCTGCTTCCTGTCAGCTCCAACCTGAAGACCCTAGCAGCCCTCAGTAGTCAGGACCTGCACCATTGCAGGCTCAGGCCTGGCCTCCCTGGCCCTGAAGAGAACCCCTGAACCCTCACCTCTGCCCCCATTGTTTCCCCACTTTCATCAGATGGTTGGGTCACCAAATAATATACCCAATTAAATAAATACCCAGCTTTTTTAGTATAAATATGTCCCTAGCAGCATGTATGTGCTTATTTGTAAATCTGGCAACCCTACCCAAAGAGCACAGTGACTCTGATCTCGTCCAACCAACTTGAAAGGGCCAGCAAGCAGCTTGCCCTGTCAGCCGGTGCTCTTTCCACAGCACCATTCAGCACAGAGAAAAATTATTATATCTTAACCTAACAAAGAGTTCTATTGGGAGGGAATATAATTAAGAGAAATGTCTGCGGGATTATCTTGTTCCTTCATCCCTGGCGGTAGACCCAGGGACTATTTGGACCAGCAGCTGTAGTTCAGACGGGCATCCATTCGATGGAGATTTGGGAAGCGCCTGCTGTGTGCTGGTGACCCTTTCCCCTGACAGTGGCTATCACAACCAGCTGGAAGCTAGCAGCCACGGCAGCCCAGCCTTGGGCCTGGGCAGTGAAAGCACAAGGCTTGGGGGCTGGCATCACGGGACCCTCAGTCGCTCAGGGCCTCCTCCTTTCTGGGGAAGCAACGTTCCCCAACCTTGGAGGACCTGGTCAGGATTATTCTTAAGCCAGAGGCTTTTGGGGACTGAACCAAATGAATCTGGGAGACAGTCTGTTCCTTTGGCACAGCTGCCAAACTACCTTCCATCACCTTAGAATTTAACTGGTATCACGCTCAGGAAGCATGTCTTTTTAAAAGGACGTCACTGCACACGAGGGTGAAGTTGTACTTCCTTGTCTAAAGCTGGCATCTTTCTCTTCCCTTTCCCCAAAACCGCCCCTGCCCTTGGTCGATGGCTTCACGGTCCTCCCTGTCTCCCAGGAGAGAAAATTGAGAGTCACCCCAGGTTTCTCCCTCCCCCCATCTTTCAGCCCCACCCACTGGACCCCTGACTCCCTCACCAAACCCTTTCTTTGCCTCAGGCTTGCTCGTGTCCTCGAAGGAGTGGCTGCACCAGCCAGCGGTACCTGGAGGCTCCCCTGTGCCCGTAATCCAGCTTTCTAATTTCCATGGGATTAAGAGGTAGGAAGTGATACCTATACTGTTTGAATTTGCATTTCTGTAATTATTTCAGTCTTTTAATCCATCTGTGTATGTGCTGTTCGGATGCTGAAAACTTTTCATTCTATTTCCTTGGCATCCTTGAGCTGTTAGCTCAGCTCTTAGCTCAAGCCAAGCAGGAATCCTTACTGTTTTCTCTGTCTCTTGATCTCCTCAAACTTCACAGGCAGGAGCATGACCCTCCTCTGCATAAAGTCCTTCAGTAACAGCTGGGCGTTCTTAATGAACACGTGAACTCCCTGGGCCTGTCGAGGCTCCAGCTACCTTTCAGCCTTACTTATCTCCCCATCTCCTCTCCCACCTGTAGCCTGTTCCACAGGCCATGGCCCTGTCCTCACCCACTTGCCCGTCTCCATCCCTTGACTCACAGGCTTCTTGCACAATCTCAAGGCCCAGGGATCAAATGCAGCTTCCCGAGGTCTGTGCTCACCCAGACATCCACCTCCCCTGAACTCCCCAGCACCTTCTTGGTGCCCACCCCGTCTTACTTATGTTTTCATCCCATGCATTCTTTTCTGATCTCTCCACCAGACTATGAGGCCCTGGAGGACCTGCTGTACATCTGATTTATTTCTCCCTCCCCTACCCCAGCACTTCACCCAAGCCAGTCCGCACCGCAGGCTGGGAAACCAGGAAGGGGGCTGGGTCACGGTTCAATCCAGGGAGACAAAGAGCTTCCCTGGGCTGGGAACGGGAAAGGAGAAATGGACAGAGCAGCACTCAGAAGCATTCAGCGACTGGTTGGCCAAGAGGAATAAGGGGAGGAGAGATTGAAGACCACTCCCAGCTCCTGGACTTGGCGATTTGCTGGGACCCAGGAGGAGCTGGGGTCGGAGTCTGGTTTGGACGTGTTTGTGGCCGTCATGATAAAACACGGGGCTGCAGGCAGAGCAGGCGGATGTCTCATCATGGAGCCAGAAACCCGAGTCCGAGATTTGGCTCAGGTCTTTGGAGATTTGAGGTCATTAGCGTAGAGGCGGCAACTGACCCCAAGGGCCTGCACAGGGATTACCCAGAGAGCCTGAATGACAGCCAGCCCCGAGGAGACCAGCGTGCAAGAGGTGACTGTGTAAAACGGGGAGAGCAGCTGGGCTTGGGTAAGAGGGTGGTGTCCCCAGAACCAAGAGAGGACCATTTCAGTGAGTGAGCAGCCCACAGAGGCCGACACTTACAACTGCAGGGCGTCGGTCCCAGCCACCCAGCTCCCTCCTCCCCCCTCCCCTCGGGGAGCAGCCATCCCATGGCTGAGCGGGCAAAGCGTTTCCCCTCCAGAGCCCCTGTCACCTGACTTCTCCTGGAAGCGCTGGAGGCGGGGCACAAACGGCATGAGTCCCTGAATGTGGAGTCAGAGCCCCGCCCCTCATCTTTCTGGTCACCTCTGCTTTTATCCTCTCCCCTATTTGTCTTTATCAATTAAAACCACAGTTCCAGGCAGAGAAATAGAAACAGACATTGGCTTTGAACTGGATGTCAAGAGCGGGTGGCCTCCACTTGGCGGAAATGGAGCAGGGGTAAGAGGGTATCTCAGGGTGGGGATGAGATTAGGGTGGGTATTCAATAACAGAAAAACACCAGGGCAACGCCATCAGTTTATTCTCCGGACCACGATGCAGATTTAACGGATGCTTTGCAAAGCTTGAGGAAGGCCCCATTAGGTCTCAGACTCAGAGACTGGGGGGATGAAGGAGGAAGGGGCGGCAGAGACTCGGGGGGTGAGCCCCCCCACACTCCACCCGGGGAGATGCAGCCCCATCCCTTGCATCTGAAGAACCAAAGCTTCAGCTCCCCTCGCCGGCTTCGCCTGGCTGGGCCCGGAGGCTGTCTGCCCAGGCTCCCAGCCCATCTGCTCTGCACCTAGGGCTCCCCTGCCAGAGCCTCGATCGACACAGTGACCCTCACAGAGCCGCAGCTGGACTTCAAGTCCCACTCCTGACTGCCATTGAACGTCAGTCCCGGGGAGGCCGAGCCCTGCCTGGGAGACAGCTGGACGTTCATCCAGCGACACCGGGCCTCGTCACAAGCCAGCACCACGGTGCCCTCGGGGTTGCTGTAGATGCAACCCAGATCCCAGCCGCCCCCTGGCTCCCTGTCCTCCGGCCCCGGGGCCTGGAAGCCCAGGTGGTCCTGGGTGACCGGGCACACCAGCTGCTCCTCCCTCAGGGCGGGCACCACCTGACCCTTCAGGTAGGCGGGGCCGGCACAGTAGGTCTGGCTGTTGAAGAGCCGGTCGCTATACTGGTACAGCCACCCGAAGAGATAGGCCAGGTGGCAGTCGCACTGCCAGGGGTTGCCGTGCAGGGCCAGGTTGAACAGGTTGTAATTGGTGTCAAAGATGCCCTGGGGGAGCGTGGTCAGGAGGTTCCTGGAAAGGCTGAGCACCTCAAGCATGGACAGGTTCTGGAAGAGGGCTGGGTGCAGGGCCGTCAGGTTGTTGCTGCCCAGATAGAGCTTGACCAGCCCCTCAAGGCCCCTGAAGATGCCAGCCGGCAGATGGGTGAGGGCGTTGTGTGAGAGCGTGAGGGACCCGAGGCTGGACAGGTTGGCAAAGGCTCCCTCGGGGATGGTCTCCAGCTGGTTGTGGGACAGGGACAGGCTGACCAGGCCCGGGGAATGGGCGAAGAGGCTGGCGGGCAGCGTCCGCAGTGCGTTGCCCTGCAAGCTCAGGAAGGTCAGGTTGCCCAGGGAGGAGAAGATGGACCGGGGCAGGTGGCTGATGGTGTTGCGCTGCAGCCATAGCTTCTCCAGGCGGGAGAGCCCCGCGAACGCCTGTGCGGGCAGCTCGGAGATGGAGTTGCCGTCCAGGAAGAGTTCCCGCAGGCCGCCCAGGTGGCTGAACAGCCCTCGGGGCAGGCCGGCCAGTGCGTTGTTGCTCAGCCTCAGGGTCTGCAGGCTGCAGAGGGGGGCGAACAGTTCCTCGGGCAGCTGGGCCAGGAGGTTCTGAGCGAGGTTGAGGGTCTTCAGACGTCTCAGAGGCTGGAAGAGCCTCCCGGGCAGCGTCTGGAGCCGATTGCCCTGCAGCTGGAGGGACTCCAGGACATCCATGTGCTGGAAGAGGCCCTCGGGCAGAGCCTCCAGCATGTTGAAGTTGAGGGTGAACTTGCCCAGCGAGGTCAGGTTGGAGAAGATGTCAGTGCTGAGGTTGGAGAAGGCACCGCCAGTGATCTCCAGGTCCTGGAGCCCCGGCAGCCCCCCGAAGGCATCCGGCCCGAAGTGGCACACCTGGGTGTTGAGGAAGACCACCTTGGTCAGGTTGGGGCTGCCACTGAAGGTCCTGGCTCCCACCTCGGTGAATGAGGTCTCCACGAAGATGATGTCTGTGGCGTGTGGTGGGATGTCCAGCGGGATGGCGGCCAACTCCTCGTCGGAGCAAAAGACCTCCCGGATGAAGCAGTCACACCCCTTGGGGCAGGGCTGGGTAGGCGTGGCCAGGAGCAAGAGGCAGGCCCAGCGCAGCCAGGCTCTGGGCAGCATCTCCTAGATCTGAGTGGGAAGCGAAAACAGAAGTGGCACCTTCGTCAAGGGCAGGCAGCCCAGTGACCAGCACACTGTTCAGAGAGCCAGGAGATGGGAAGCTAGTTTATGTTTCTAATAGTTGTTTTCATACCACCTCACAGCAGCCTTGCAAGGTCAATAGGACCAGAGTTCTAACCTTCTGACAGCAAGGGTGTCTCGTGGCCAGTCCACAGTCCCACCCTGCAGGTTAGTGGCAGGACCAAGACCCTGGTCTCGTGGACCTGACGTGTTCTTTCCAGATTGGAGAAAGAGGTGGGACCGAGACCAAAAGGCATGGAACAGGGGCATAAAGGGAGACCATGGGTACTGTGGAATTTTTAAGATAATATGTAAAGTATGGGCAGATTATTCCTGAGTTGGAAAGTCTTTTAACCGTAACTCTTCCTGAGTTTTCAAATCTCAGCACATTGCAGAGCCTAATTATGAGGAGATCTTACCCTCAGCTCTTTGCACCGCTGAGGCTGAGAGCAGACACAGGGACAAGACGGGCTCTTATCTTGGAATGAGTCCGCCTTCTCTTCAGTGCTGCTGCCAAAACGCTCCCCTCCTGCCCGCCACCCCTATCACCAGCCTGGAGCCCACGGAACTTCCAACACTGTGTGGACAGGTGGGTCCCAGATGAGGGGATTCCACAGACCTGTAGGTTTTTGTTTTAAATAAGGGAAGGGGACCAAGTTTTTAGTTCACTAAATATTAAATTTTTTTAATGCCAGCATCTACCACAGGTCACAAATTGGTGACACAGCTAACAAGCACATTTTACTTACCACTCAGTCTTTTTTATGTCTGAACCACTAGCTGGCATGTAGAAACTGAGAAATAGCACATTAAATGTTTCCAGACTTCAGGATGATTTAGGGACATTGGGTTCACATTCCCACATAACGAGATCAACGGGGTCTTAATTGTCCCATTAGGGGGTCTGTACCCCCCACATCTCTACTGCTCCCACCCACGTCATCATTTACATGGCTTCTAGTGGTTCGAGTTCCATGAGTTGGAATACCAGCTCCATCACGTTCTCGCTATGTGACCTTGGGCTGTGCTTCAATTTTCTTATCTGTAAAATGACGATAATATTAGTGCTAACCTTGTTGGGGTAATTGCAGGATTAAATGAGTAAATAGAGGTAAAATTCTTAGAACAGTGTCTGACATAGTGTGAGCAATTAATAAGCTATGTTAACCATTGTTAAAGGTTGCAAACCACCGTCATTACAGAAAAGATTATTTGAACATGAAAGAAGTAGGAAGAACAAAATGCCCTTTAGCTAGAATATATTTAGCTTTAAAGAAAGAAAGAAGACAGACGGAAAGAAGGAAAGTCAGAAAGAAAGGGAAAATTCTCATGCAATATAATCGTAATTTTTCTCAATTTACCTGTCCTCAGCAAGAACTCAGCTGGCTCCCTGTTGGGGACTCTTGGCCCCAAGCACCCCTTCTGCACCCTGCCTCTCTGCTGCTCTCTGCTGGCTGCTTCCTCCATCGCAAGATTCAGCTTCAGCCAAAAGGCTCCACATGCAAGCACAGTGCTTACAAAAAGGCCCCTGTACCCTCTTCCCATTCAGACGCTCAATAACTCTCAGTTTTTCCAGGAATTTTTCTGCCTAATCAATACAGAAGGAACAATTTCTCCCTGAAAAAGCGCTGCCGCTCCCTTGAGGCTCCTCTGATGGCCACATAGGTAAACCACAGGAGGTGGATTAAACACCATGGTTGGGAAGGTCTCTAACAGTGAGGGTCTTGCTGCCACTCAGGACACACTAGGGCAAAGGACAAGCCTGGTCCTGCCATCCCATAGACCAGCTTACAGAGTTCAGCTTTAGCGTGAGACTTTATTCTCTTGAGATTGCTTGCACAGAATACAGATAAGAAGAAGAGGGCCTGGCTGAAGAAGGATGACGTAGCCATGGTCCCACCCATACCTGCTACCTGGGCTGTCCCTAGGCTCCTACACGAAACCCCTGGGCATCCTGACAGAAGCCTTCTCTGCCTCCTGATATGTTTCTCTATCTTAGCACCTGGCATCGTCCTCCAGATGATGGGTTCTCACAGCTGTCCTTTCTGCGAGAAGGTGGGTGTGATCCTCTCTACGCTCGTCTTGATTCATGATAGGGTCTGTTGAACTGAACCGTCCGTGGCTGAGATGAGCAGCTTGAGAGGCAGAGCTGCCCTTCCCTGGAATGATTCCAGCCCGGAGTGAATGACCGTAGCCAGGCATGAGCACGGCCTTGAGCCCTCCCTCCTCCTTCCCCCACCTAGAGTAAGAGAGGAGCAATTCCTATTTGTAAAGCGCCATAATATTATCAACATGCCAGCCCCCTTCCTGCTAACCCCTTTGGTCCTTGGTTCTCAAAGGCAGTTTCCAGAAGAAATCCCACTAGAAGGGACATGAGGACCCTAGGGACCATCTGGCCAGCCTCATTGAGAGGGTGAGGCCAGGCCCCCAGGTGTCTGCAGTGGGGCCTGGGTTAGAACGCAGATCTCCTGGTTTCCTTGATCACTCCTGCTGGGAGAGCTGGGACCAAAGCAAGAGGGGCAGGCGAAAGGAAAAGCCTCATGGGGACACTGTGCCTCACCCGCCCCTGCTGTACCTCTAACTTCTAACCCAATGTCACTTGGAAATAATATACTCTAGAAGCAGTCTACAGATTCAATGCAATCCCTATCATATTACCAATGGCAGTTTTTACAGAACTAGAACAAAAATCTTAAAATTTGCATGGACACACAAAAGACCCCGAATAGCCAAAGCAATCTTAGGGAAAAAAATGGAGCTGGAGGAATCAGACTCCCTGACTGCAGACTATACTACAAAGCTACAGTAATCAAAACAATATGGTACTGGCACAAAAACAGAAATATAGATCAATGGAACAGGACAGAAAGCCCAGAGATAAACCCACACACCTACGGTCAACTAATCTATGACACAGGAGACAAGGATATACAATGGAGAAAAAACAGTCTCTTCAATAAGTGGTGCTGGGAAAACTGGGCAGCTACATGTAAATGAATGAAATTAAAACACTCCCTAACACCACACACAAAAATAAACTCAAAATGGATTAAAGACCTAAATGTAAGACCAGACACTATAAAACTCTTGGCGGAAAACATAGGAAGAACACTCTTTGACATAAATCACAGCAAGATCTTCTTTGACCCACCTCCTAGAGTAATGGACAGAAAAACAAAAATAAACAAATGGGACCTAATGAAACTTAAAAGCTTTTGCACAGCAAAGGAAACTATAAACAAGACAAAAAGACAACCCTCAGAATGGAAGAAAATATTTGCAAATGAATCAACGGACAAAGGATTAATCTCCAAAATATATAAACAGCTCATGCAGCTCAATAGTAAAAAAACAACCTAATCAAAAAATGGGCAGAAGACCTAAATAAACATTTATCCAAAGAAGACATACAGATGGCCAAGCAGCACATGAAAAGCTGCTCAACATCACTAATTATTAGAGAAATGCTAATCAAAACTACCGTGAGGTATCACCTCACACCAGTTAGAATGGGCATCATCAGAAAATCTACAAACAACAAATGCTGGAGAGAGTGTAGAGAAAAGGAAATCTTCTTGCACTGTTGGTGGGAATATGAATTGATACAGCCACTATGGAGAACAGTATGGAGGTTCCTTAAAAAACTAAAAGTAGGGCTTCCCTGGTGGCGCAGTGGTTGAGAGTCCACCTGCTGATGCAGGGGACATGGGTTTGTGCCCTGGTCCGGGAAGATCCCACGTGCCGCGGAGCGGCTGAGCCCGTGAGCCATGGCCGCTGAGCCTGCGCGTCTAGAGCCTGTGCTCCGCAACGGGAGAGGCCACAACAGTGAGAGGCCCACGTACCGCAAAAAACCAAAACAAACTAAAAGTAGAACTACCATATGACCCAGCATATACACAGAGAAAACCATAATTCAAAAAGACACACGCACCCCAATGTTCACTGCAGCACTATTTACAATAGCCAGGTCATGGAAGCAACCTAAGTGCCCATCAACAGACGAATGGATAAAGAAGATGTGGTACATATATACAATGGAATATTACTCAGCCATAAAAAGGAATGAAATTGGGTCATTTGGAGAGACGTGGATGGACCTAGAGACTGTCATACAGAGTGAAGTAAGTCAGAAAGAGGAAAACAAATATCGTATATTAACGCATATATGTGGAATCTAGAAAAATGGTACAGATGAACTGGTTTGCAAGGCAGAAATTGAGACACAGATGTAGAGAACAAATATATGGACACCAAGGTGGGAAAGCGGGGGCAGGGGATGGTGGTGGGATGAATTGAGAGATTGGGACTTACATATATACACTAATATGTATAAAATAGATAACTAATAAAAAAAATTGTAGTTATACAGAAAAAAAAAAGAAATAATATACTTTAGAATTTTCCAACAAAGGGATGTAACTGGAGAATTCAGGACTTGAGTCAAAACTATGGCATCAATGGCACAGAAAATCAAGTGTAGAGAAATCAGCTTAGGCTCAGGCAGTGGTTGATGGGAGAGGTGGGCGGAGCTTCTCTGGTGTGGGGGGCTGAGCTAGGGGGCGAGACCCACCTGCCAGCTCCCAAAGCTCTCACACCTACATCTTGATCCTCAGAGCACATCGAGAAAGTTCCAGGACAGGGAAACTGGGGGACCCAGAGCTACAGCAACGGGTCTAAGGGCACACGACTAAGAAGTGTGGGGCTAGGATCCGTCCTGATGGCCTGAGCTGTCAGCAACGTGCTTGCAGCAACACCACAAGGCTTCTGGAACAGGAAGACCCATGCCCACATTTTCAGGACCCAAGGTGAACATACACAAGGGACCTTGTCTACCGCCTGTCCCCTTCTCTTCCCACCGGCCTCTCTCCGGTACTGTGAGTAGAGATCCCTCGCACAGCTGTGTCCCCGCACCTCACAAGCCTAAGGGAACGCACTTCTGT